AGAGAGAGAGAGAGAGAGAGAGAGAGAGAGAGAGAGAGAGAGAGAGAGAGAGAGAGAGAGAGAGAATGAGTGTGTGCGTGTGTGTGTGTGAGCGTGTGTGTATGCGTGTGTGTGCTCATGTGGTGTGTTAAGGTACCTATAAGAAGAAACGAAATTAGTTTTCTTACGGGGCTGATGCTGGCAAAATCGCCACTCTGCTATAATGACATCCATTACAGCGGCCACTTGTGCCTGTCTGTTAGTCCGTTGATCTTCACCGGTGTAAAAATGTTATTATCACTGTTACTACCAAATAATTACAGAAGAATGAAGAGGGTTTTAGTTGTTTATGAGTAATGAAACTATACTAACAGCTTTTACTGCGTACCTATTATTGTTCTTAACAGTAGAAAAAGAAAGAAAGAGAGAGAGAAAGAAAGATAACAGACATGTGTCCGTTGGTATGAAGAGAAATCATATATGTTCATGTGAAAGAGAATGATCTAATGTTACATTTCTGGACACATAAATTCGAGTCATTTTATCGTATTTCAACTAATGGATACTTTGATCTGCACGAGGTAATTGTTTCTCGACGCGAACGGCCGAACCCGCGCGGTCCATCCTCTCCAATGCCACTTCCTTTGCGGTTTGGATATAGCGTTATATAAGAACTTCCCGCGCACCTTGCAATCTCTCTTCCCTCTTCTCTTCCCCTCCTTCACTTCTCTTCCCATCCTCCTTCACTTCTCCTTCAGTCTCCTTCACACCCTCTTTTACCCACTCCAAGTCCCTCCCACTCCAAAACTCTCCTCTTTCCATCCGGCAAAATTTGTATTACAAGTCCCCGCAACAATGACCATCCTCTGTCTCCCGAACTCTTTATCTCACTTATAGAAATTCCGCGAAAGCACAGGTGGGAGCGGCGCCGGATCCCATTTAACGGGTTCCAACTCCACTCCAGAAGATAACACGGGCTCTCGTCGTGGCATTAGCCGTAATGGCGTACAATCCAGACCAGAGCGAGGAGGAACACGCGCACTCGGGCTACTTTCCCCGTCATTTTTATCCCTTTATCATTGGGTTTATGAGACGGGGAATATGTTAGCCTCTCGCTATTTTGTCTTCTGTTTCTCCTCCTTTTCTCCTTCATTTGTGGCCTTGGATCTCCTTTGCGGCGTCGATAAAACTGGAGGATATCGATGTTCAATTTGTTTTTTGCAAGCGGCGCGAACTGCCGCTTTTGCAGAGTCATTGCCCTGATGGCGGCGTCGGGATCGTATGCAATCCCGCCGTGACGCGCAGCTGTGTTCCGGGCTGCTCGAACGCGCCTCGGGATGGCCCTGGGACGAGTCTCTGAGGACGGGATAGGAGGACGGCATCCCTGGTGACGCCCGCGCCATCCAGGGACCGCCATTCCGCCCGCGAGAGAAGCGCGAAGGGGACGGGGATCGGCGCGCGTGGGAACCCGGAAATATGGCTTCCCCGGGAGCTGATGACCACCGCAAGGCCCTCTCGGATAACCATAGGCTGCCTGGCTCCCCGCGCTCTGCTCTTGTCGCGGAATAGCTATCATGGTGGTCATCCTCGACCGCATCCGTCTCATTTGGGAATTATCTCCTTGGTCACACGACACACCTGTTGCCACATCACGCCCCGGCTGCCATAATCATGCAATCTGCCAATTTGCAGTGGAATTCTTTCCTTCTCTGTCTTCTCTCTTCGGAATAACTGTGTGTTCTTAATGTCATTGACTACTGATAAGTCACCGAGCCTGTTCCTCCTCCGTGAATAGCAGTAATGTTGCTCTACTTTCCTCTCCTCATTAACCTACCATCCATTATTTTTTCCACTCTGAATTTCGCAATTGCTTTAATGAACGACCTCGGTTTTCTGTGCCATGCCCCGCCCACCTCCCTGTCCTTCGGGCGTCGCGGTTCCGTTCTTAGCCGATGTCCCCAAAGGCACGGCCGACCCGCTTGTGCTTGCGGGAGTGTCTTTGTGCAAGAGAAGCTTTTTATAGCAAAAACTATTTCTCTATTCTCTCTCTCTCTCTCTCTCTCTCTCTCTCTCTCTCTCTCTCTCTCTCTCTCTCTCTCTCTCTCTCTCTCTCTCTCTTTCTCTCTCTTCTCTCTCTCTCTCTCTCTTTCTCTCTCCTCTCTCTCTCTCTCTCTCTCTCTCTCTCTCTCTCTCTCTCTCTCTCTCTCTTCTCTCTCTCTCTCTCTCTCTCTCTCTCCTCTCTCT